ATGCTTGTCTTAATCAAATCTAATAACGTCGGTTGTATTATACAATGCACAAGTAAACGCACAAAAAGCTATAATTAATAGAGTCATCCTCGAGGGTATGATTAAGCATAAAGTAACTCGACATGAAACGGGAACATAACGTGTAATTTATTATACAAAATGTGCCGCATTTTTGCATCATAGAATTTTTATTTAAACGTAATCCAAATTCTATATATTTTCTTTTCTTCCACTTACTTTCTTTTTTTTTCATTATTCTGGCAATACTACGAGTGCTATTTATAGAACATCGATAAATGTACTTTGTGTGCGATAGCGATGCGATACCAAAGAATAATTTTTTCCATCGTTAGTAGCAATTAGTGCAATGAGTTCCGATAACGTCCAGCGATGACATCGAAAGTGAATTAGAGGAATGACGCGAGCGAATTTTTACAAGCATCTTTTTCTTTCTCGTTTTTTGTCGCCGCACGAGGAAGCCTCAGTAGAAAATTGCATCGTATTACTTGCCATTCGATGACCTGAATGTAGGTCTCACAGAATTACGAGCATTGCGTGAGCTCGGTATCGATCGCGCGCAATCGACAAAAAATCAAAATTAGTGCATGCATGTCTCACGCGCGAAACGTCCTCCTTCACGAAGAAAAAAAGAGAGTGGCATACCGCTGATAATAACAGAGTTGCTTCGTGTCTACCATTAATCGAACTAATCTCTTTCGTATCATACACAGCGATAAAATTAATTCATTAATGAACAACGCTTTAAGATAATAGATTTTAATTTTCTTAAAATCAATTAAAACTATATTAAGATATATTACGAGCGAGATTATTACAAGTTATTAAAAAGATATTATCGCAATTTTTTTTTTTTATATATAAGTTTACTTTTACTATATGAAATTAATTAATATTTGCAATTTTTTATAACAACTTTTAATTATTTAGTAAAATTATTATAGCATCATATATCGATGAGATCGATGTATCATCGATTAATTTAACGACTAATTGCGCAATTAGCAATAGAGCATGAAACTCAACCTTTGATCGAATCCTATTTTCCTCGACTTCAGTTAGGGAAATTAGGAAGGTTGTGCCACCTTGTATTACCACATATCGCATCTGCGATCGCTCCTTTAATTAAAAGCCGGTCGAAGTTGCGCTTCACGTTGTAATCGAGGCTGATTTGGTCATTCGGGCTCCGACAGGTTCATCTTCTCTCTTCACAGGGAGTCCACCGCCCTTGTTCAAACGCATCAACTTAGTTATATTATATGACGCATCCGTGTGCACACGTGAACGACGGAGTCGAACATGCTCACCGGGTCGGATCAATAACTCCAGGAATGGGCACTTGCTGGCTGGCAAAGCTGCTCTGTGCGGAGCAGCCTGTTTCTGGTCTTCCAGTCGGAAACGAAAACGGAAGTGGCTGACGTGCTTAGGAATTCCGCCCAGACCTATTCTCGTGACACCTTTTTCGCGAGGATCCACAAATTTGAAAACGGAACGGTCGCATTTTCTTCTAGAAAGCTCGATTTTAACCAGGACGATTAAATGGACTATTTTTATAGCGAAATTTTACAATTTCGAAGATTTATATGCATTTTGCAACTTTGTTTGCTTGTCGAACTTTGAATTATATTTTAAGTAACAAAAACGTATATTAAAATTAAAAATACAAAAATTAATTAAAATGATTAAAAAAATATTTGATGATAAATTAAAGTTATATTTATGGAACATCTTATTAATATACAAGATATTCTGAAAATCGTGGTACGACCGAGAAAGGAGTGATTGACCATAAAAAAATAATTCAAGAACGTAAAATAAAATTTTTTCATGAGATTTTATTTTCAGGAAAATTGACTTTAAATATTCATCAAGTACGTGAATCTCGACTTAACGAATCTCGCTGTAGACTATTGCTCGAAGATATTGCTCGAAAACAATGTTTCATACAGAAAAATTTTATTCTACGCTTTATTCTCTCAACTTATATTTTCTTATAGAATCATCCTTTTCTTGGATGTATCGTGATATTTTAAATATACATTCTGTATATTTTTCAGCAAGCATTTTTATATAACTTAGCGTATTTTTGATAAAATGTATGTATTGTAGAAACGCTGAAGGGATTCTTTTTGATAATGCCCTTCGATCTGAATTTTTAGAATATGCAGTAATCACGATTGCCGGTCGTAAAGCAAGATACACAGTCTGGCAGAATGAATTGCTTACTCTGGTGCAGTTATTTCTAACGATCCGATATATTACTCCGGCCACGTGTTCGTCGTGATAGAGTTCGCGTGAAATTCCCACTGTGTGTTATATAGATTTCTCCGCCTTAGCAATTAGACAGAAAAAGAAATAAAAATATATCCAACGGTAATATTTTTTGGAAATCTACGTGTTTCTTGACAGAACACGTTTTTTTGGGAGAAGGACAAAAAAGGGACCTTGTAGATATACAGATTAATGAAGAGTAATGCCGAAATACCTAGAAATTTTCGCAAGTGTAACTAAAATCGCACGCAATACACGTAATTTATGATAAACTTTTTTACTTAAATGTGATTTCACTGGGCACTTAGACCATCATATTTATGCGTGCGAAACGTTATTTTAAGGTTTATTTCGTGTCTCCGACCGAGTTAATTACTCACAGCCACGATGACGTGATCAACCGAAAGTAATTTGATCCATTTCTAAGTCACATACCGTAAATTGAAAGTGAAATTCATAGTTTTGTGAAAGCTTTTATCTCGATCAACAAATTATTCCAACCCACTTTAGAAAATTATTTTTAATGGAATTTATTTTTAGCATATGACGACACTCTATGTCCTTTTAAATAGATATTTGTATTGATTTAAATAAATTTTTTTATTTGCGACAGAAAATTATTCTAATTTTAAACTGATACGCAATCTCTATGATAAGTATCGCGAAATAATGTGCTATATGCCAGTAAGGATGACTAAAACATTTACTTCGAGAAAAAAGTCGAATCCGAATGTAAACTGCTGACGTTCTACAATGATGTCATAGTACAATGATTAATGATGAATGGAACCAAGAGAAATTGCAACGATGCATAGAATCTAAAGATCGATATACGCTTCCGATCTGATGATTGCAAGGTGTAATTGTTAGGCCCACTCAAGAAACGTTGCTCCTTTAGTTATCGCTCCTAAACACGGACTTCTTGTCTCGTGGAGAATTTTACAATGTTACTCACCAAGGTTAATCGACGTCGATCCACAGCAATACGATCTGTTTCGTAGCTCCGCCAGTTATGATTGTTCGCGTGTCTACCTCCGTTTATGTTTAACTCTCAATCACTTTTACCCTCTACTCCTTAAGGTCTACGTCGGTCGAAATCACGCTTATGGTTGTACGCAGTTAGTCGTGATGTATCGCATTTGTGATGTATATACGTGAGGGATTGTTGTCGTAAGACTCATCGTCTGAAAATTGGTTATTCGTCTCTAATGTATGAAGAATAAACTGATGGGATTCTTTAAGCAGAACGCATTTTTATTTTCGGATGTCACGTTTGTAGTAAACAATCATATTTCAATATTATAATTCTGAATTTTAAAATAAAAAAAATTTGATTTCGCAAATTTTCCAAACTTTATCAAATATTTCACGAAAATTAAGTTTGAACAGTTTTTATTCATAAAGATAAGAAGAAATCTTTTTGTGATGAATAGAAACGGGAGAAATATTTTTCATTTTTATTTAAGATTATTCGAAAACTTTCCATTATTTAATCCATTTTCTTTCATTTTTTAATATTGCTACATCGTTAAACTGAAGTATTTAATTGATCACGCACATTATTGCACTGAGAAATTTTTGGTTGAAAATGAACAAACGGGAAGATTCCGCACTGTAAAAAGTAATATGTTTTATTCTTGGCCCCATGTTTTAAACTTTTTCACTATACGTTTTAAATCCAAACACGTAGTGTTTTGTCTATTGAAAAAGTTTAAAACTAAAACATCCTTAAGTGTTTAAAAAATGGAGACAAGAATAAAACATTTTAATGTCTTAAAATTAAACACTTCTTTTTTCAGTGTAGTCATATCAATCAGAATTCTTTTTCTCAACTAGAATTATGATGGATTCAACCAGAAAATTATGATTTGTCCTATTTTTAACCAGCATTTTAATGCAACCAGACATTTTCCAGTGTGTCCATTCACCGATAGAATATTCGCACTTGTAAAACACCGTTGGTAATTGCTGTCGGTTTGATTGCTGTAATCTCGTCGTCAGCACGTAATATCTATGGCACGTAGAGAACAGGTTGTAATTTACAATTGAAAGCTGTCGTCATTGCACGCATTGTAGGATTATACCGAAATAGACATACATATAACTCTGTCGAATGTCTATATCACATTCAGCTATGAATTATTCATAGTATTTAAATGTCGGAGACTTTTACATATTTTAATTTCTGATATGCTAATAAATATTGCTTTAAAACATCCCATGTACACATTAAAAGAATTTTTCTAAAATAATGGAATCGATAAAATTTAAATAATACTGCAGAATGGAATGTGTGATACAATTTTTCTCCATTAGCTTCTCCATTGGTTTTATATTAATTAGATATTAATTTCTTATAAAAAGTTTATATTAGTTATTAATTCATTATTGCAACTAATATCCATAAAGTTTCTTGTGTTAATGCAAAATTAATCTTTTCTATAAGTATTCTATAAGTAACAAATAATATTATTCACTGTGCGAAAGTGTTTTTATAAAATATTATTATGGGGCAGTTTCTTAGATTATCTCAAATCTGATCTAATTTTTTAATTATGTTTATAGCTAAAGATAAAATTGCTTTTTTCCACATTTTTCCTATGTTTGATAAAATTTAATATTGGAGCTACTTCTCGAGCTCTTTGGTACAAAATGTACTTTCTTCTGGCACATCGATATCTTCTCCGTCGCTTTTATCACGCGCGTACGTCGTAATACAGCGTCTCTAGTATGAGACAAAAGTAGTCCTCGTCTGACACGCTGCGACATTCATTCACATTGTAGCGGCACTGATGTCGATCGCTTGGTTCGTGAACCTTCACGAAGACTCGTTGGTCACATGTTTACGCAACAGGTTTACGGGGAACCATATTGACCGAGGCGAAGTTGAGGTATACCCCATAAGAGTACGTGAAAGAAATCGATATGGATTCGCAGCAAACCGCGAACAGCGTGGCCGAATCTGCTTCGAGCCACGGAGAAACTATGGTAAGCAAAATAGGACAAGATACATAAACTAAAACACGTACAACGATCATTAATAAAGGATCCATGATAATGATTATATCTTCATACATCTTTCATATGACATCTGATTCTAATAAATTAATGAATGAGCTCGATCTCGTTACGTTTAAAAAATTGACTTCTTTGGGAGAAAAATGAGGATCTTGCTCGTAAACATAACGTCGCTGATAGCATCCCTCGAAGCGAATGAATCGCGATGGAAGTCAAGTCGTTCGTGGCTTGATCCTATAATGAGTCGAAAACGGTGGCAGGCACGGTGAAAACGGCATGATGAAACGTCACCGACCCGCATTATCAAAAGATCGATAAACTCAGGGCCACTATTTCATGAATTTCGACTCGCGTCAGCGACTGTAGTTCTCTCGCGGTTTCCACATTGTTATCGTAGTACATTTTAGCGTCGTGCGGATTAGCCTGCAACACGAAATGTCGCGTTAGAAATTAATGAAATTGAATTGTGAAAATACTGACGATGATAGCAAACAATCGCTAGAATGTTGCTCTAAAACGCGTTATTCGAAATTGACAACGAGAAGGTCAACGATGATTTTGTGTCGGAAATTACGGTTACAAGATGATGCAGAAAATTAAATCAATGTTTGTAGACTCGCAATTTTAATCGGGACATAACGAAAAGATCGATGGTACTAAGGTCAAGGTTAATATTGTCGATCACAATTTGTGCCTCGTTACGCCAATAACCTTCGGTTTCTTCATATGCCAATGTCGCTCGAGATTATCTCGCATCGCGAACGTTTTCGGTGCCAAACTGCGCGTTTCAGATCTGCATGTCGAATCAAGGTATCATAACTCATTTAAATCTATCTAACAAAGAAGAGATAAAATCGACATTTAAATCGAAGGTAGGAAACTTGGAATTAATTGAATATATATTCATTCATTTCCTGAATATTATACTATCAAGCAGGGAATTCAGATTTTGACGTCAGAAACGCACGAATATGTGTAATATCTATATAATTTATGCTCAAAATAATAAAAAACATGACTGTGCTAATTTAAAGCAGACCGTAGATGGTCAATATTATTGTACAATTATTTTATACAATATTGTTAATATCCTCTTTAAATAATTTAAAACAAACAACAGCATGGAAGCTCAATATAGCTTCCATTGATGATTATTTGTTATTGTATAATATTTGATATTATACAATAATATTGATTATCTAGGAGTTGCTTAATCCTCGGATAGCGGACGTCTTGATACAAATATCCATTTATTCATTTTCTTCACAGTTGAAAAGAGTTGAAAAGAGTAAACGACTTTAACTCGCGGGCAGAAGGTTAAGCAATGCTCTTTAAGCTGATGATGACTATATCTATAGCACCAAAATTGATTTCAACAGATTATAGCATCTTCAATTTCTGCGTTTTCTTGAAACTATGAAGCACTGCGGTCATAAAAATATTCGGGCAAAAATTCACGAAATTTTATAGAATATTCAGTATCTAATTTTTTATAAATAAAAAGAAATTAATAGCTTATGATGTAACACACCAGAGAGCTATCTCTAAGTTCGTCTATTCTCTGTCAAACTGATTTATCTCGTAATAGAGACTCACCGACGAATACACATTTCCGCACGGATATACGCGACAAATGCTATTCTTCCACAGGTGAAGCCAAACGCTCCTTTACCACAGCAAGGATTTCAGGCGCGACCGCAAGGTCCCCCTCCGTCTCCCAGAAATTCGATAAATAATGGTCCTATAGGCGTACCTCGACCTGGACCACCATTACGACGATTGGATAGTCGTTCCTCTCTAGGTCCACCACCAGCCTCGGGTCAATTCGTGCAGCTTAGGCCTTACGGTCCGCCAAGACCACCGGGGGGTTCTTTTCCTCCAAGGTCACCGCAGCCCGGTCAGCTGCCTCAGCAGAATCCGCTACTACCTCCGAATCAACGTTTCGTGTATTCCCCGGGGATCCGAGGTCCCCCGCCACAAGGAGCAGGAGGTCAAAGGCCACCCTTCGTCATTAACCAACAGGCGTATCAAGCGCAGCAACAGCAGCAGCAGCGAGGTGGTAACGATCCACGATTTCAACGACCGGACGTCGCACCTTCACAAAACGAACCGCGACGACCTAGCCAAGAATCCATTTTTCCACGACAGTTATTGAGAAATGACTCGTTGATAAGTCTACAGCGACAGCACCTTTTATCAAACGAGGAAATCAAGCAACCGACACGACCACGTATTGTTATCGAAAAGATGGCAGACATCAATGAGACAGGCGATGATAAACCGGAAGGCTTGCAGGGAAAGAAGTCCGATGTTCGTGAGAACGGCGAGAACGACGACGACGATGACGTCGTGATGGATAATAACAAGTCGCCGCGACACAATGGCGATGGTACTTCTGAGGAATTGATGAATGGATCCAAATCGCCTTCAACCCCGAGAAAACTCGACGATGCTAGTAGACCCGCGAGCCGTCCAGGGACGGCTACTATGGAAAATAAGGTAGAACAAATGGATGACAAGCAAGACATACCCTCAAGACCAATTTCTGCTAACGTTGATAATACGGCGACCCTTATTTCTCAAAGCAGACCATCTTCCGCAGTAAATAATGATAAAGAAGAAAAAAAGGAGGAACAACTCGCTGATAGATCGCCGTCAAAAGAGGTTGACGCTGCATCCGAAGAAATAAAAAAGCCCAGCAGTCCGTATAATAACGACGCACAGAATGTCGAACAGAGCCTGAAGACTCCTCCGAAATCTTCGGACAATTCACGATCTGTCACTCCATCTTATTTGGACACTCCTCAGAACGCGGAACAGAACAGAAGTCCGGATAAATCGCGTTCCAGCACTCCAGCCCGACTAGAGCCGTCCGGAAACGCGGAACAGGAACCAAAGACTCCAGTCAAGACTCCGAATAAGTCGCGTTCGAGCACTCCATCCGAAAACGCGGAACTGGAATCGAGAACACCGGAGTCAAAGACGCCAGATAAATCGCGTGCAAGTACCCCGGCTTCGCAGTTGGCGTCATCTCCGAATGCGGAGAGAGAGCCGGAAACCGCGGCGAGAACGCCAAACAAATCACGTTCGAGCACACCTCAAACTGCAATAGACTCAAGCAACATCGAGGCAGACAAACCCTCCGAGAATCCGCATCGCGACAAATCCGCCGAAGGCACTCTGCGGGTGAAAGAGTCCAGTAGACCAGCGTCATCGTTGAGTTTGACGAGCGAGAAAGGCAGCAAATCACCTAAATCTTTGAGGTCACCCACACCAGGGAATCGAGACAAACTATCGGGGTCGGTTTCACCTGAAGATATAAAGGGCTACGATAATGGACAGCCGAGAACGCTGTCTTCCAGTCGTAGCCCTCGATTACCGAAATCACCTGTCAATAGCGGGAAACAGACGGAGGACGAGAAAAAGAAAATGTCCTTCGTCGAAGATTCTGATGAAAAAGCGAACAAAACGTCAACAGCGATGTCAAAGCCCACCACTTTAACGGTTAAAACTCCAACATCGGAGAAACCAGACGACGAGAAGGCGGAGAAGAAAGCTACGGAGAAAAAAGGTCCTTGCGCGTTCACGCGCAAATTGAATAAAGAAAAAAAGAGAGATTATAATTTGTTTGCTTCGCGAATGTCAATTTATTTACGTTCGCTTGCTTCTTAAATATTCAGAGCAGCTATTTTCGTCCTCTCCGGAAATTCGATATATTATAAAATAATAATAAAACTAATTTCTCAAACAAGGAAATTCTATTTCTATCTACAATATATTTAAAATTAGCTTAGCTATCTCGTTAAAATAGAGAATATTTTAAAATTTATTTCAAACAAATTGATCACTTTACGAAAAACTATTCCGATTCTATATTCGAGACTCTTGAGACTTTGCTTCGGTGCGACACGATTCTGACGTATGCATATTTTTAACTGATCATTACGATGTATAGTAATATATTGTTCTTTTTTCTCACAGCGGTCCAAAATGGTAGAGCGAGAGAATCGGTTAGCGGGGTAAATATCTTAAATTACATTTATATCTGTCCTTTCCTTCCATTCTTATAGATCGTAGTATTAAAAATATCTCTTTCCGATAAATTAAAATTGTTTCAAATAGGCACAGAGTACGAATGGAGATGACAAAAGATCGAACGCTGGATCGCCTACGAAATCCGCTAAATCATTACCGAAAACTCCTGACACACCTACGTCGATCGCTCAAGATAAAAAAAGTAAGTATTCTTTGTTTTATATTAATTTAGAAATAGGTTACTCTATACTTTGCATAAACAAAGTCTGATGTACACTATCGAAAAAATTAGAGTAAGGGCAATGTTTAAAAAGTCATATTAATGTAACGTGTGTCCAAACGATCTTGTTGTTTAATCCTGCAGAGATGCCGATGAATAAAGTTCAAGTTGGTGCTGCGCCCTCCCCGAACCTGAAGACTGTACGATCGAAAATCGGTTCTCTAGACAACGCGAGTTACAAACCGGGAGGTGGTAAAGTGAAAATTGAGAACAGGAAGCTCGACTTCAGCAAAGCGCAACCGAAGATCGCCGCGAAGAACGAGAAGTATGCACCCAGTGGAGGCGACAAAAAGGTGATCCCTTTCGATCCCGTATTATATTAAGCATTTAATTGCCGATAAAAAAGTAATTTTCACGTTTCTTATGCCCGTTTCTACCAACGTAGTTTAATCTTGGTTTAACCAACTCTTCATTTTTTTCTAATTCTAAAAAGATAAAGAATAAATTGAATCAAGATTAATCTATTGGTAGAAACGGACATTAGAGAATCTTTATTTTTCTCTCCGATGTTCGTCAGAAATAGTATCAAAAATAGAACTGGTGATTTACTTCGTTGGCTTTGAATTTCAAAGCTTTGGCATTAAAATCTTCGAAAAATCGAAATACACAATTATTAATTTAATATACTTAATTTAATATACAAATTAATTTAATATACAAATATATTTACCAATATATGTCTATTACGAATATATTTTTATTTTTATTTTTTCTATTCACACAAATATATTTTTCGAAGCTTCGAAGTTTCGAAGTCACTTTAAACTTCGACAGTTCGAAGGTAACTTCGAAAATTCGAATTCTTTCGAAGCTTCGAAGTTGTCAAAAGAAACAAATCCTAATCGAAAGTAAGATTGAGAAGCGAACACGCATTATAGATGTCATGAAATTACAGATCTCTCAAGTGAAACTTCAATGGAATGCCAAGTCCAAAGTGGGCTCCTTGGAGAACGCAACTTACAAACCGGGAGGTGGTGACAAGAAAATCGAAACGGTAAAACTCGACTTCAAGGACAAAGCAAAACCAAAAGTCGGATCCAAAGACAACGCAAAGCATATTCCTGGTGGCGGCACCGTCAAGGTGAGATTCATTGGAGTAGACTGTTAGACGTCTGTGTAGTTTAAAACCAGTTTTATTATAAGCCAGTTACATAAATTTTTTAGCATATTAATCAATTTTTTACTGTTTTAATATATTCTTGCAAACATTGAGATTCTCAGTTAATCGAAATCCTTAGTTCAAATATTAAATATCATTCTTTTTAATTCTAATGATGCTTTAATTAATATTAGCACGTTCATGTTATTTTCTGCATCAAGCGATTAATCCCGAAAAGAAATCTTAATAATCTATTGCATGCATTTATATGTATGCGTTTACATTCACATTTGTATTTGTTAGTACTTTATTTTTGGCATAATCCTGAAGAACGAAGAAGCAATAATACTATATATTTACTGCTACAAAAAGTCATTACATAAATTCTCATCCTCACACAAATGATTCACAGATGGCTGGTTCGGTGACAGAAGCTTAATTGGCATAGAATGCATTATAAATGCAATGCTCGCTTCGTTCATTTTATGTCATAAGAACATCCGAGATAATTACTTAGTAATGCGCTAGTCCAAATTTCATTGCATGCGGAATGCTGGCGTAGATAGTAATATTACGTATATTACAAACGTGTATATATATATATATATATATGCATACATATATCCCGAACAAAGTTATTTATAGTTTTGAAAGAAGAATGATGATCCAGCAAGAGGGAACAGCTATGTATTTTGACAATTTTCAAGAAGAATTAATAATTCCAAATTGTTTATGACTTCATGGCTTTTAAAGCGATAATTGGAATTATTAATTTTACTTTACAATAGTTCGAAATTTTTAGCGAAGGAGAACATTTATTGGTCCGTCAAGAGCATCGTTAATTCTGTTAAAACCCGAATAAAAAAACATTATCATTAGAAGACGCAAAATCCAATTGTGCAGCTAATTCGTACACGCATGTATTGTCTATTGTCATTATTAACAAGCCATTGTTATTTCTTGATGTTCAGTCCACAACTTCGCCAAAGACACCGCAGGAAACGAAGAATGACGTGAGTATATCATACAGCTAATCAAATAGCGTGCAAAAATTAGGTATATCATGTGTCGCTTTTTTCTATCTTCCTCACTCCACTCTTTATGGCCTTCGTTGTCTGATCTCATGACATCATGATTAAAATTAATTTCTTGTACTTCGTTAAAATCGTGGATGTAAAAATAAGTAGAATTAGACCCTACAAATGAACGTACGACTGCATATATCTCGTACATCGATATTCCCACACTGGAAATCGCTATTTATAATCAGCATGATAGATCAGCTAGTTTACCTCCACGATTTACGAGATACCAAAATGTGCTTATCATCACTTTGCAATAAAGTGGTAAAGTTCTATCTATATCGCCGGATATAGACGTGAGTAAGTAAAATGTATACATTGGAGATTTAAGCATGTATTTATGCATGTTTCTAAATTTATTTAGACTCTAGATCAATCGTCACTTCTGTTATCGTGCCTTTAAATCTAATTTTATTGACAAATGAATATTATAATAAATATACTCTATTATCATATATTCGATTACGTGAAAAAAACAGGAAAACCTACTTCTAGCTTTTTATTTTCACTCTCCTCTAGCCGCTTATTAAATAAGATTTTATTATCAAATAAATAATACGGTTCTCGTCGTTCATTTTCTTAGATCCCATCGCAAAAAATAGATATCAAGGCTGAAAGCAAGATCGGTTCGCTAGACAATGTGAAGCACAAGCCGGGTGGTGGCGACAAAAAAATTTTCAACGACAGAGATTATCTTCGGCAGACGAGTTCCAACGTTGAGAGTTTGAATGGCAGCGGGTCTCAGGTAATTTTTTTACAAATTAAAAAAGTCTTGAGAATATAATTTCATCACAGAACTTTGTTACTTCATTACTTCTCTCTTCAGAACTTTTGCGCGGTAGAATTTTTCTAGTTTTTTTTCGCAAAGAAACGTGTCGCAATGATGGAAAGTTCTAGTCCGACAATATTTCTTCTCGAGATTTTTCGCATTTAATCTGCACCTATGTGCTTAAACACGCGTTGCATGCGTATTCACAATGGCATACACAGCACATTTAAATACTAGTTCGCATTGATAGATAAATAATTGCGAAAAATGTACATATATCGATAGAAAAACATTCGAAATATTGTATTGGATATCATCTTAGAAATTTATTTAAAACAGTCTTCGATAAGACTAGTCTCCGAGAGATAAAGAAATTATTTATTTACTAAATGTTTCATAATATTTCTGACCGCAAAACTTGGTTCTCTATTGAACTCCTCTATTTCTGCTGGTTGTTACCTTCGCAAAAATGCACCTATCGTGATTACGCAATTGCAGTCTCCATATCACAGATATTAAGAGTCATTAATCCTGCGCTCTAAATTAACTTTTACAGGACAGAAAACTATAATAGTGGCCCTGAAAGTGTCATATTGATCATTGAAAATGTCATTTTGAAGCAGAAATAAAATGAAATAATAAATTATAATAAATCTTACTCTTACTTACAGAAAAGCTGTAAGATTTTAAAAATAGATTCCCACCCTCTAAAAGTTAAACTTAATCGTAATGAAATTGTTTTTGTTTCTTTCTAAATCTCATTCGCAAAAGAGGGAAAACTGAAAAAACAATTAATAAATTAGATATTGAAGAAGCAGATTCTAAATCGATAAGTGCAATACTATTACGGATTATGCGTAACTAATCAGGATAAGCCGCATGAAACGAGATAGGAAAATTTGTTTTGTGGGAAAATCTTTTCAAACTCTATCTAAATTATTAAAATAACATCTAATGGCAATATTGGTGGAATGCTAGCCTATCGCACAGCCTGAAAGAGTTAACGCGCATTAAAAGGACATTTATTTATTTTATTTATGTCCATTTCTATACCAAAGTAGATTAACTTTAATCTAAGTTCAACTTACCTTTGTCTTCTTCTAATTTTTGGAACTGGAAAAAAATGAAGAATTAATTGAACCGTGATTAAAATTAAACTGCATTGGTAGAAACGGGCATCAGTCGATTTATTCAGTTCGCAAGGATGCTGCAGGCTTAATCCTGATATCGTGTCTTGTGCCCGCAGAGCCCCGTGCCCTCCGGCGCGATCACCGGCAAGAACGGCCTGCCAGCCTCGGACGAGAACCTGAACCAGGAATGCTAGGTCACGAAAAGTCGGCCGATAGACCCGCTTTAATTATATCATTTGCATGTGATTAATCACGTTTATCCATCTACCCCCTTTGGAGGACGAACGAGCACTTTCCTTGCGCGATCGAGATAAACACTGAGATGTACGGTGCACGGAAGTCCTCGAAAAAAAGGAGCACCGCGATCGATATCTCGTCTACGCAAGCGACAAAATTTGCGCGACGGACGAATTAAATTAACGAGCGAGGCAATTGTCGCGTTGATTTGTTATCGAATACAACGCGAGGTTTCCGGATACTTTCATTTCGCGTTCACAGCGGTTTTAGTTATTTTTAAAGAGAGATAAAGCGAATACGTCATTGTGCGTTGCGTGAAAACACCCTTTATCCAAATATTTACGTAAGTGCACAAAAAAATCATAAGGCAATCATATAAAAGAACAAAAGAACTGAGGAAAAGTATTTCACTTTGTTGTAATATATAAACGAAGAACAGATTTGAGGAACAATTTCTATGTGCATGAGGGCTCTTTGTCTTTTTAAGCGATAGCTTTTTTTATCAAGGATTCCTGTAACGGTACGTCTTTGCGATTTTCTATTATAAATCATTATGTCGACGCATTAATTCTCATGCACTCTCGCTACGTGAATATTAATATTTGCGAACTTTTTCGATTTTTGATACGCATTTATGCCATAATCAACATATATCACGAATTGCAATTTAGTTATCTCATATACGAATTTAATATGTTTTTCAATGCATCATAATAGGGCATTATATGCATCATAATCCTTTAAGAAGTTAACAATGTGCATGAAGATGACAAAGCTATCGACAAAGAATAGGGCAAATGTAATTATAAATGTCTTCAGAATTAAATGTTCTCAAATTTTATTTTGCAGACGACAAGAACGTGTAATATTTTTTAAATTTAATTTATAATATTGCCAATCGTATTCAATTTCGCGAGTGTAAAATTGGGAATTCTATCCTTATTACTTAATTTATCACTAGTGTCATATTCGCTTTCGTATCTGTAGAAGATTCCAATGAAAGTACAAAAATCACACGCACCCGTCGTTGTAATGTGCGCAGGAAGAACCATCGCGTCCTCTTAGGGGGAATAGACGTTAGACAAACGCGCGTACATTAATTTCCGCATGAGGAAGTCTTAACAGCCGACGATCCCTCGATATCGTATGTACGTTGCATTTCACCGGAATTACGGGGTACATACGTCATCCCGAATTAAATCGCGAACGACGATGTGTAGTTACCGTTCACGTGAGCAATCTTTGACACGTGGTGGATCTAACGATTTCTGAGGAGACGGAAGACTATAGCATTCTTGATCGACATGTATATGAATCGAAAGGGAGCCACAAGCGTTGCGTCGGCTTTCAGTTCACCATGGATAACTTAGCTTTTTGCGCCATAAGTATGTACGCGCCACGACATAAGTATGTATTGCAGCCACGACTACGATACAAAAAAATCGCGTTGTGATATCTCATTGAGTGCGTTCTGTTTCACGCATAATGCGTATAATATATCCTTGTTGTTCACCGAATATTAAAGAAGGATAAAATGACTCCAAATTCTTTGGAGTGGAATCTTACTCTATAAAGAGTGAAAATTGAGTCACTTTTGATAAAAACTCTTGATAAAGAGTGACTCAATTTTCGATCTTTGAGAATGATTTCACTCCTCAGAATGAGATTCACTCTAAGAGTTTTAGAGAGAATATATCATGCGTGAAAAGGAACGCTTTGTCAGAGCTTTATGCGCAGAGTTATCCAAGATATGCTCGGTGCAACGAGGTCGCCAGGGAGGAGAAGAAAGTGCCAGAAGAGCCGTGTAACACGCAGGTGAATCGCGACGTTCGCGTGAGACACCCGTTAGATACATTTGGATTGATTAGAGAGGTTGCGCTTAGACGACAGGACATACGAGATATTCGTGTAAACCTTATTGTAGATACGTAATCAACACATTGCATCCCACGAGTATATATAATATATATATAAAATATCGCTGGTGCGAAAAAAAAGAGCTATCGGGAGATGATTAGTGATGGTGAGTGTTTGCCAACGGAAAGGAGAGATCGATGATGGAGAATGCGTGCGGCCACGCCAAAAATAAAAATCTCTCACTTACGTCACTACACTACCTTAGGTACCTCGTGCAATTTACACATCGCTAAAAGGAGAGGAAAAAAAAGAAAAGGACAGGGGGAGATATGTAACACATTATTTACACACTGTATTGCTTCCACATGAATTATTAAGAGATAATTTGATTCAATTAATGTGCTGCGATACGGGGACAGAGAATGATAATTAATGTTTAGATCTTCGTAATTGTCATAAGTTACCACTTCGTACGAACACAATAGTGTAACCAACGCGTCCGCGCGTCTTGGATTAGGATCGCTCTGGAGAGACATTATAATAATATTTTTGTTTTTAAATTTATTCCGTTCTTTGTCTCTCAACACCCGAACGCATCCCCCCAATCTTCTTGCTGAGAAAGAAGCGGCTGCATCTCCTTTTATCTTCATAAGAATCTATCTTTATTTATCTTTATAAAAATACACATGTAGAATATAACTATTTAGTCTTATTATACAAACACTAAAAACAAAACGTGCAGCAAAAGATATGTGTAACAGTTGTCACGCGATAGGTAACATCCAGGAGCAAGATTCTTTGATTATATTCTTTTTAGGGTCCATTAAAATCCGTCTAATATAATCTATTTAAATTTTTAATTTATTAACGTTACGATATAAGAGCAATTCTTTAAAAAATAAAAAATTAAAAGTGATGAAAATTTGTACTATTTGTGTAAATATTAAAATATTTGTTTTCAAATAATTATTGAAATTTCTACTTTCAGAATTAGGCGTTATATTTAATTATCTTCTGAATTATCTTCTGAGAAACGAAATAAAAGAATAAATGTAAATAGATTTTTCGAAATTGGTTCTGTTAAAATTAATTTCTTTTTATATCATTTGAAATAGAATGATGAGACTTAAATATATCATTTCAAGCACTAGAAATTCGACTTCGCAGGCCTGTCAGTTAAAAATGAACTACTTCGTGCAAGATTTACAATACGAAGATTTATTATCGACCCTGAAACTGACTTCCTTATCGATACCTTATCTACTTAGAAGTATTTAGAAAATTGCCATTTACTTAAAAGGATAATACGCACAGCGTGTACTTCACCCTCACGTACAATTCACTCAAGATCCGCAAAGCATCGCTACCATTCACCGCCTGCCAATAAAGGTCAGTTTGCACATATATTATGTAACAAAGGGGTGCATCGAGTTATTAGCTCGCTAAGTGATCGATGACGACATTACTAGATGCACCCAAATCTATGACTCATCTTATTCCATCGTTGAGCACATTTATATAGAAATGATTGTTGCGATTCTTCCCAGATTCGAACTTCCGTGCAGGATGAGCCAAATTCAAAGATCGGGAACAACGAGATAGCCCAGCCTCAACCGCCGCCCTCGACGCCGACCAAAACGCGTGGCGTTGTATCGCCCTCGTCCGTCGTGACACCCCAAGCCGTTAGAAGCGGACTGGCCAGATCTCCGGAAGCCACGACGCCCAGAGGGCAACTCATGCAGGAAACGGGGGGTCCAACCCTCACAAACGGACGCGCATCCAAAACACCCTCGCCAGACGTGACGAACAGCAAAGGCACGCCGAAGGGTCATTCACCGGGAAGGTCACCAACTTCCCCGCGTCCACCCAGCAGCTTACGCATTAGATCCGCCGGCGATAAATCTTCCCCCGAGACACCTAGAAAAACGTCCCCCGGTACATCTAATAGAGTATCCCCCCGCACACCGAGGAAAACTCCGTCTCCTAAGGACTTGCGTCTTCCGAAGCTCACGTCTTCGCAGATATCGCAAGAAGCAAATCCAGCGGTTGCCGAAACTCATCAGAAAATCACTTTACCGAAATTGATCGAACATCCATCGTCGCAATCCGCCCGAATGGCATACTAGATCGAGCTATCGAATCAAAAACGTGAAGGGCTTTCTAGCGCTTTAGTACAGAATGTCACAGACTCCTCGCAGGTTCTCTCATTTGCGACTGATTTCAAACTGAACTCTTCTCGATAAACAAATTTGATTAATTAAAACTTAATTCATAATCTCATATAAATTAAAACTATTAATTTTTAAGAATTCGTGTATGAAAGGAATTACGAGATCTGGAGCATTCTGTTCATTTCATAAAAATAAGAGTGCAAATTTAATTAGTAACTTAGGAAAAAATAACGATAGGAAAGTTAACAAACTACACTTGCTAAAGCAGATATCTTCTTTTTATTAACTCTAGTTCTAAGTAAAGACAAACTTTTTTTATTTTAGGACTAATTTCAATCAAATTGGCTCGAAAATAATAATTCGAGAAGAAATGGAACGGGGACTTGTATCCGCAAGTCCTATTTTTCCAATTAATTCAAGTTTCCAATTCTGTATCTTCCGTATGTGGAAGATTAATGGATATGGGAAACGTATAATTTAAATATAAATGAATTAACGATGTTATTTCTATGTTACAAATGATTATATTGTTTTATTTTATTATTCTTAAATCACAAAAGAAACTGATCAAAATTCTATTATTTTTCAGTATTTGGACATTACAAGTCACGTATTTTTTAAAAGACATTTTCAATAGTTTGATTATGAATTAATAATTTACATCTTTTAATACCACGCACAACTTGAGAAACTATACCTAAATAAAAAGATATATGCAATATATAATTATTGAAAAATATAATTGAAATCCACATGTCACTGTACAATGAGTGGGAAATGGATGAAGAGGATATGAAAGACAAATGATATCGACAAATCAAAAATTAATATATACGTGAGATTTATAGTAAAAATATATTTAGACTATACTTTAGATCGTACTTTAGATCGATCATACTTTCGTAGTACAATATAAAGTTATCGCCATCCAAAATTATTTCGTATTTAAGTTTCATGTAAAAACCTATAAAAATACAGTAAATTCAATTGGCCATATAAATCTACATTAGTATTTTTTTAGCAGTGGAGGTGGAATTAATTTAATCCCAGCGAAATAAGGATGAGTCAATCCTCTTTTTGCCGTTATCCTCTGATTAGGATCGTACGTCAGCATTTTCTAAAAACATAAAAAAAATATAAGTGTATACAAAAATGCGCACTTTTTGGTAAGGTAGATGCTGGTTTTTCCTTACTGAAATTAAGTCTTTGGCATCGTCATCGAAAGTCGGTAAAAGGTCGTCTATGTTAGACGCCTCCCATCTTGGGAATCTAGATGTGTAGTCCGGAAGCTGTGACACCCCCGGCCAGATCGTTTCGTCTGGCGTACCGAGCATGCGAAATATTCTAAATAACTGATCTATTTCAGAGTCTCCGGGAAACAGAGCTCTCCTGGTTGCCTATAAAGATCGTATTATTTTGCAGATACCGCGGTTTCGTTCCAATATTCAATAGACTCAGGTAATTCTCGCGCAATCTTCACATACCATTTCCGCAAATATACAACCGAGACTCCATATGTCTAACGCACAGGTGTACAATTTAGTTCCTAGGAGAACCTCTGGTGCGCGATACCAAAGCGTGACAACCTCGTGAGTATAAGTGCGAACGGGCACACCGATCATTCTGGCCAATCCGAAGTCGGCCAGTTTTATATGACCCTCTCGATCTATCAATAGGTTCTGCGGTTTTAAGTCTCTGTGCAATATACAACGGAGATGGCAGAAGGAAATTGCCTTCAATAATTGGCAGAGGTAGCTCTGTAACACAAACCGCCCCGTTTTTAAAAGACCAACGCACGAATACAGGCATCACGAACATCGCGATGAAATGCGGCTGAGATCCGCATTACCTTGACGAGAGCTGGTTCTAGGCCCCCTTTAACGGAGTCTAACAGCTTTTTCAAATCCTGCTGCAGAAATTCAAACACGAGGTACAGATGATTATCACCGTCTACGACATCGAACAATTGTATGATGTTTGGATGAGCGAGGTCTTTTAATAACGATATCTCCCTAATAGCGGTAGATGGAACGCCTTCTCTTAATTTAATTAGTCAGCAAAATTGAGTGACTGCATCTGACGAATATGCTAAAGAAACATTCATAGGAAAGTTTCCCTCCTTTTTTCAACTAAACTTTCCGCTTAGAAAGTTTACTTACAAATATATCTTACGAACATATACAACATAATATATATTAAAACATCAAATTGCATTTATGGAAAGAACGGTTTTGCTGAAGTATATAAAAATTTAGTTACAGATCTCAATCTTCTTAATAATTATGTGGAACGTTCGAAGTGATTGCTAGAATGTCAAAATTTTTTGCAGCACTTCTCATCATGCTTGAGTTTCCTATATAATTATTTTGATGGCTCAATAAAATGATTTTTAGATCTTTATCTATATATATCTAAATTTTAAGATACTTTATCAAAATCATTCTTTTCGTGTTGGTGGGAAAAGATAAATATAATAATATAATATAATATAAGAGCAATTCCATTAATTTCTGTATACCCAAAGACAAATGTTACCTTCAATGAAAATGTTATAATTACAGAAGATATATGTATATACAATATACATACACAAAGTTTTTATCCCAAAAATAATCCTAACTGAACATATCTTAAATTAATAATTACAGTGTATTAAAAAAAAATACCAAATTAAAAACCAGGCGAGCATGGCATAATGGGACAAGCTGAATAATGTGGTGCTACGAAAATTAGTGTAACGTGGCCCCCGCAGATTCAGCTGACCCCAATATGCAGATTGTTAGCAGTGTGTTAGCAGTGTGCACAAGCAAAAGCCCAGCTGATATTGCAGTTCTGCAAATTGATCATTTTTAACATACATAAATAATAGCCGAATTAAAATTTAAAATTAATTTTGTAAAATCGTGGTTAAATCGACAGTGCGCATCTTAATTAAACATTCGTATTAGATGCTATTAAATTTATAAGGATACACCATTAAAAAACTAATATCACGCTATTAAATTATTCTTATAATTTCACCTCCAAGTAACAAATAGAATTAATAATATGACTCATTTGCCATATTATTAATTTGTTATGAAAACATATAGTAAACGCATATAAACTTTTAAAGGAAATTGGCAAACATAATTTTTTATAAAAATAATTCAAATATTCTTGTGCTTACAAATTTCAACTAGTGTTTTTATACAGATATTATATACATGTGAAGAATGTAATTTTTACTAAAAAGTATTATATCAAGCGTCAAAAGAGATATTAATAACATATAGCTATGGAAATTATGTTCCAAGCTAGATTAATAAAAGCTTAATAATAATAAGTTATATAAATCTACATATAAATAATTAAAAATTCTTTAAAAAATATTTTTTTCCATTAAAAAGCACAATTGGTTAAATTAAAAGAGTTAGTATAATATTAATATATTTATTGTGTGACTATATAAATATATAAGAGAAAAAGAAAAGGGAAGGTGAAAGTACTTTTGCATTGTTTACTTGTTATCATAATATATAACAATAAAAAAAGAATAGTATAAAGAGTTTCTTAAAAACAATTGATAATTAACCGAACAATTTCCTATTTATATCACTTACTTTTATCCAAATTCTACCAAATTTTTAATAGTAAAATCAACTGTAATGTACAGATTCCGAAACAATCTTCAGAAGACAAAATCCTGACACAAAATCTGACTATAGAATTCTCTCGAAAACATTCTCACCAAGATTTGGAATCCAGGTTCATCCCGCGTTTACAGAGAGTAATATCCTGGACGAGTGAAAGACAAAAAGAGAGAGAGAGAGAGAGAGAGAGAGAGAAAGAAAGAGAGATAGAAGCGATTTGTTTATATTTCCCAGTAAATTTACGGAACCGAACGTACGTCTCTAGACGGATTTTCTTGAGTGCTACCAGCTTTCCGGTCAGTTTGTCTCGAGCTTTGTAGACCACCCCGTACGTTCCTTCCCCTATCTTCTCGATTTTCACGAAGTTGTCCATAACCTCAACGTTGCCGCGCTCGTCGTCGCCGCCACTGTGAGCTCGAGGACGCCGCTCCTCGGCCAGGGCCGCCGTCGCCGCGCCTTCCCTGACCTTTTCCACGGTCGACGCCGTCGTTGATCCGTTTCTGCTGAGGGTTGTCGACACTTCGGAACGTCGAGAATACGATTAGCTCGTTGCGAGCCGTTTTATTGCCGCCTGTTTATCAACACCGGTGGAGCTAAGTGTACTCAGCCGCAATGTGCGCGCCCACAGTGGCCATTTTTATTTTTTAGAGAAGGTGGAAAGAGGAATCGATAGTGCGAATCGATGGACTCGTCCTCGAGATCGATGGTCGTCAACCCGCGTTAAATAATCGACAACACAATGGAGGTGAATGAACCCTCTCATCTCGCGCGCGCATCGCGACATAAATGTAAATAATCCTCATTAAGCGGCTATTAATTGTAAAAAAGATCACTCGCAAGAAATTAGCCCTGGGATCATATTTTTTTTTACATTAACACTATTTTAAAAATTCATCCACATATTTAAGAATTTTTTTACCCGTTTTTTATATTTACTTTATAAATCATAAGAATTATTAAACTATATTATTTTTAATAATAAATATCAGATATTCAATAGCCTGTTATTTAATTATTTATTGATTAATATATGATTCATTACTGTATATGCGAGGAACCCAAAATATGCAGATTCTTTTTTTTTATCAAGTTTAGTTTCAATATGGAAATATTTTAAGTTTAAGTCTTTAACTGGATAAAATTAAAACTATATTATACATTTAGTTTAAAAAAATACTTAGGATTAGAAAATAGACGGCACACACATAGCATCGTTATGTAAAAAAATGTTAACTTGAATGTTAAACAGTCTCATCAAATGTTATTTTAAGCTATCAAAATTTTAATAACAAAATGTGTACCAAACTTGAATTAGCACTTGGATGAAAATCCACTCACATCAGCACACATTCCAGGATTAAAACTTTATATTATAAATTTTGTTTTTGTTAATACTTCACTTCGCGATGCCAAAGTAAAAGAAAAATTCAAGTAATTCTATTTATATATCCACTTTTCAGAAAATAGTTTTAACGGTCTTTCAAGTCCCAATTAATAGAATGTAATATAGAATAGATAATCATTACTAAAAAAATTACGCTTGAAAAAGCTGATCTTTTATAGACTATGTAAACTACGAGTATATAGACGCTACCGCGTCTCTTTTAATTTCGATTGTATCAAGAGATGCTTCTTTCAATATTAAATAAATACATATCCGAACCTTCATCTATTTATTTATCGCAATCGCGCTACACGAGAGCTCTAACAATTGAGACTATAATTATTGTTCACAATTGTTTAGCCCTTTATATTTCTTCAGTGTCGTGCAATAGCATGCTTCTCTATCTCACAACTAAAATTCTTTAAATCTTTGTGCTTAATATATTCGAGATTATTCGTCGTCCGTTGAAATATGCGAGTATCGGAATTAACATAGCATTCTCGAGATTCATTTCGTTTCAAATCTCCGAATTAAGCGATGTCGCAATTATCTGGAGAGGATATATATATATATATAAAGACTGCTTCTTGTAGTTGAGTTTTCTACACTTTCTACTTTTTACCATTCAACGCACAATTATACACGTTTTTTTTATTTTAACTTCAGAAAATGTGATTTGTAACGCAGTTACAAAGAATGGGCCTGTAGAATCAGGACATTCAGTGTGAGGAGATAAATCGAATATAATTTGAATATGATCTTTAACGTGTACAATACATAATTTCCATCACCTAAGATTGTCAAACACTCAAATCCTTCCGCACGCATCAGATTTTGATTTCGAAAGATCTTACACGCACGCATTACATTATGGATAACATAATCGGGTGCGGCTTACATCGCTTCATCTCGCAGTTACGCAGAGATGCATGCACACGGAAAAAAAAAACAGTTTGCTGAAGTATCTAAAAATTTGAAAACAATTTTGTTAAACCATAAAAATAATTATATAAAAAATTCGAGCTTAATAAGCAATGTTGCAAAATATTTTGACAGTCTAGCAACTAGCTTCAACCTCTTACATAATTATTTTGATAGTTTAATAAAATTATTTTCAGATCTATAATCAGCTAAATTTTTAAATACTTCAGCAAAGTCATTCTTTCCGTATGTGACTCACTTCCATACGCATTTCTCAATTGTTCTTAGCTCTCATACGTACAGTAGTTTAAATCTAATTACGAGTAGAATGATTACGATACGTATTTTTTTTTAGGTAAAAATATGTGTATAGGAATTATGCTACTGTATACATATATTCTCGTACGAGCCTTCTATTCCGTGCACACGTCAAATACATGCACGTTTTCTACCAAAGCCGGAGGAAAGAGGCGCATAAAAATTGGAATGTTTACGTGATTTTATTTCGCGCGCCTACATCGGAAGATATATCTGCAAGTTGCTCTCTACTATTCGTGAAACGTGACTGGCATAACTTTGTAAAATTGCGCAAACTCGAATCGTTGGTTGAAACATTATTGGATGTTTCACCAAAGCGATGCGTTTTTCAAATATAAAAAAAAATCTTTAAACGTGCGACGTCAAACTACGATATTTTATTGTTGAATAACGAATTCCATAAATTTCGTTCAGTTCTAGATTAATTGTATATTCTTAGAATTTCAACGCGACAACGCATGGAACGACTTCGATTCGTCATTGAACAGCTAAGACGCAATGTAATTGGTATGAACAACTGTTTTTCTGGACAGGGAGATTCACGAAAACGTAATTACGGTGAGATTCGTCCCATCTAAATTTCACGCGATGGGACTAAATAGAAAATATATTTTCTAATATCTAAAGTAGGGTACGATGTACAATATTTTCATGCACATTAAATTCACAACACGTGTCTCTCGTAAGTTTTTACTTATATTACGCAGATTATCCGGAAAAAACCTGGAAGGATATTATCTCACAAGACATCAGTCAATAAATAGCATTTCCACGAAAAAAAATACAATTTCCATTATAAATCCGTGCGTTAATAAATTCAGTAATTTTCGACAAAATTATCTAATTATTCTGTTTTTCTTCTCACGATCGCAAAAGCTTAAAAAAGCCTGCGAGGAGCCATTAAGAACTCTGCATTGTGCAAGAAAGCGAGACTATTATAAAGTTTCTCAATAACTTCCCACCAGGCTGTTTAGGACATCTTATGTTCAGCTTATTATGCGTAAGTTTTCTTTGAGTGCACAATCAGCATAGAATTTAATTTCAAGCAAAGCACTCGTGTTGGATATTTTTGATGGATGAAACTTGAAAGATTTTTCGATAGATTTTATATTATCGCTGATAGCATTACCGTAGGATAAATAATTCGATGGTTATACATTTTAAATATAATTTTTATAATGTTTTATATAATAGGCATGTGATTATAAGCAAACATATGAAAGCTGTCGAAAGAAAATCAAGTTTCATCCAAATTAGATATGATTTGTTAACGTAAAAGTACATTACAATTTCTTCGAGTTATTTTGATTACAATTTCTTAATATAACAGAAGATATATTATAACGCTGTAGAATATTTTAAAATATAAAAAACAATCTCTTCGCAGACATAAAATATATAAAGTTATCTAAAATCACTCAAAGATGATATGACAAAATTTTTACTCGGGAAGATATAAATTTCTGGATGTTATTAAATGTAATTATACATATATATATATATATATATCTAATATGATTTACGTATATAGATATAGGAGAAAAATATGATTGATAAGATCGTGAATGTTATCTATGCTTTTATCATGATAAACTACATTCTCTCATGAAAAAATATTAAAAAAATTAGTATGTATGTTTATACTTTATATCATTTTTTATGTCATTCCATATTTTTTAGAATGTTATTCGAATTGTGGAACTAAACGATACATTATGACAATGTTCTAGATTTTCATCGCCAAACTTTCATTATCATCGGATTATTGAAGAAAATAATGCAATGAAATTTAATAGAAATTTATACTTACGTGAACTTTTCTGTCACTAGACTACAAGGCGCATTGAGGCTTGTTATGAGTGTTCTAAGTATATGACTAGAGCACACATTTCAGTTATTTGTCTAACTCATTCTAAAATCTAAGATTGCCCAGTTAAAAATATATTAACTTTGTCTCTATTGAGCATTACATTACGTAGAATTAAAAGAATTAATACATTAAAAGAAAAATATTATATCGTAGCCCTTGGAAAATATGTTGCATAATATCCGGGCAATCGAAAAAAAAAAATAATTTCAGATGTTTGTCCTCTTCATATCGATAAAAGTATCGTACGTATATCAGTAAAAAGAAAAATTATTAATATTTTCTGAGTATTCATCGAATTAATATAAATAATTATGCTGTGGAAAAATGGCTCTCGCAGCTTTTTCCTGTGGATCTAATTGATTACGATAACGCCTTGCCAAGAAAGCTGCAATCACCTGAAAATGTTTAAATTTATAAGGTCCGAAAAAAATCAAAGAACCATGAAGAAAAATACAAATAAATATTGCTATCGTGTAAATCGCTGCATGCTATATACTGCACATAATTTACATGTTCTTATGAATGACAATAGCGAATGAATATCTGAACCAATAATGCTGAAAAAAAAAGATCAAAAGACCACAACCAATATATGAAGGTCACCCACCATCTGTTAGGAGGATCATATGAAGTGACAGAGGACATGGCGATGGTGTTAGACTAGAGGAAAGCACTAGGATTAGCTCGTGGATCTTTCTGGTTCCTGTATCTCACGGTCAACCATACACCAACAAACTGTAATCGGGCGCACATGTTAGCATTAACAAAATGAAAGTATGTACCTTCATTGTAACCGGTAACCGCAATATGGATATAGTGCACTTTTAATTAGACAAAATTCTTAAATATCAAATAAATCATACTCTGTGCAATATTTAATTTCGTACAATTGTGCAATATAGTATGTACATGATTAATGCCACGACGTTATTTGCGGAATCTTACCTCCGTAAAGCTAAAGAATAATCCTATACTGCCACATAATTTAAATGCATAGTCAATGGTAGACTGCAGTTTATGCATACACGGTGGACATGTTGTACTCGTACAAGGCATTTGTGGATCAATGGATTGACAACAAATTTTCTGTAAAAGATTCCAATTATTTGATAACATTATATTATCATGCGGATATCTCACTTTTATCGCAACTTACATTGACTTCATCGCACGATGCACCTGAGTCATCAGTAGTGCTATTAAATCCACAACAGTTAAAGGTAGTTTGAACTTTCGCCCTTAAGTCAGGTCCAACGCGTCTCCAGCCCTAAACACATTTATTAAATATCTTATCCATTCTACAAATAATATATAATCACAATACTTTCTAAACGAAAATATTTACCTGTTCTGCAAGTTGTTCTTGCTGTTTAGTGTTTACAGCAAGACAAGCGCAGGCAATGCTGAATTGAATCAGGAACAAAAGGAATAAGATAAGCATGTACTGTAAAATGCAATTAAGGAAATATACATCCATTTTTGTATCGAGAATCATTTCATATGAGACATTTAATAAAGAACAAAACATATTAGACATTATTAACGACAATGATACGCAAACGTAACGATAAAGAATTTCAATATCCAAGAGAAAAAAATGCTGACAGTGAATAAATGTTCTCTTCACAAACCAAATTTATAATAATCACAATAGTAAATAAAATCAGAATTCTGATCCTCGTTCATGAACTTAACACCAAAACTGCTACCATAAAAGCTAGAAAAGGATACAAAGAACAATAAAACCTGATGGTGTTTAACGGCACCGATCAGGCCCAGTATAGAAATGAGAAACAGGATCACTCCGCATGCTAAAATACCACCTATAATAGGCAGATTCGTAACTAAGGCGGATGCCCTTCCATATACAGCAACTCCTATTAATATAAAGGCAACAACCTGCAAGAAGAAATAGTAATTAAAATATAAAACATCCACTGCAGTCATCTCCTAAAATAAAATTGGCTTTCTGTTTATGACAGACGCCAGATGATCTGAAGCCGACAGATTAGACTTGCGCGTAATCCAAGTACCAATTATTAGATTACAGATCTTGTTTGCAGCAATTAATTATTTCTACACACGTGAAGATAAAGAAGAATAAAATATTCAATAAGAGGAATCTGTGATTCCATAATCGCAGCAAAATTGATGACAATTCTTAACGCAATTATCTGATAAATGTCTGTTTCTACCAATATAGTTCAATTTTAATTTCAGTTCAACTAACTCATCATCTTTTTAGAAATAGACATAAGTCCGTTTTTATCAATGTTGATTAACTTTAATCTTTATTTAACTTACTTTTCATTACAATTCCAAGAATTAGAAAAATGTAAAGAGTAAATTAATCCGAGATTAAAATTAACCTACTTATGCCCGTTTCTACCAATGTAGTTTAATTTTAATCTCGATTCAATTATAACCCTTCGTCCCTTTCTAGTCCTAACAATTAAAACAAAGATGAACAAATTGAACCGAGATTAAAATTAATCTACGTTGATAGAAACGGGCATTAGCAGGAAATGAGCCATATGCTCGTTTCTACCAATTGTAGATTAACTTTAATTCTCGGTTCAACTTAATCTTCATCTTTTTCTAGTGGCAAGGTTTATAAAAAGAAGAAGAGTAAATTAAACCAAGAGATTAAAATTAATCCACTTTGGTAGAAACGGGCAATAGTCGATCTCCTCTCTCGCGTATGCGTCACAGTCCCGATGAAAAGACAAGAGGAGAGGAAGGCGAGGGGAAGGCTTCCCAAACATGTCAGTATCACGCGAAATTGACTGACATAATTATGCAACGCACGGATAATTCCGCGCGAGCCTCGCTCCATCGCGCCCGTAAACATCACGACGGAGCGAGATGGCGAAGCGCGCGACGGTCGACGGGAGAGCGAGAGAGGGAAGCGCCGATTGATAAAAAAGTCTCGCTCCGATTTGCGCGAGCGAGACGGACAGCGGGGAGAGAGGGCCGCACAAAGAAATCGTGTCTGCGGGGTATCTACTCACGATGTAGAGGATGTTGAGTGCCGTCAGCGCATTTTTCGAGCACGTAAAACCGCCGCACATCTTCGACTGCGCCCGTCCGTCGTCGATCCGCTGCTGTCAGATCCTCGGCAGATCCGCACGTCGACCTGCGGCGATTCGCGGCGCGAGACGAAATATACGGATTGCGTGACTCGGATTCGCGCGAGGAACGACTACGAGGGACGATAGCGACCGCGTGGGACTTTTTTCCGCGTGCAAGCAGAAATTTTCAGACCCTGTCGAGGTCCCAACCGCGACGACACGCCACGGCAGACGACTCGCGACTGCCCGAATCAGCGCGATGGCGGCGGTCGATGCGCTCGATAGATTGCGAGTGTCACGCGCGAAACACGAACGTCGGCGAGGCGCGCCCGGGATAGAGCTACCAGTCGTACGTTTTTACGAATGTATTGTATCTATTTTCAGGGATAGAAAGTAAGTTGACGTCGTTACTTTTATCGTTACTTTTTATAATAACGATTTGGTAGCGATGTTGCAATTTTTTATGACGGTGACTAAAAGTTATATGATTGAGAAAAAGTCATTTTTTAATGGTAACTTGTCATCACGTGTTGTTTATTGAAAAAAGGTAACTCATTATTTGTAACGAGTTAAAGTAATGAGTAAAAGCAATAAGTCGATGCGTTACAAAAAAAAAATAATGAGTTACGTTTTTTTAAATAAATAACGCATAATGGGGATAAATTACTTTACAAAAGTGATTTTCCTAATCTTAGCTTTTATAAGTTATCATCATAAAAAATTGGAATATCATTGCCAAATTATTATTATAAAAAATATTATTATAAAAAATTATTATAAAAAAATAAAAAAGTAATGGTTCTCATTCTTACCTATTTTTACTAATAATTTATGACATTCTTATTTTTCTTGAATACACGTTTTTATTGTTTATATTATTAGTTAATATTTTTATTATCATAAATCAAAAATTGAAAAAACAACAAAAATTTCAATTTTATGTATAAATAAGTACTTTAAGTATAAAAAATGATTATAAGTTTCGTTGCGATTTAGGGATTAGTTGTAAAGATCTAAAAAAAATTAATGTTTTGTTTATTTACAAAATAACTAATTTCTGATCGCGATGAAATTGAGATTTTTGTCATTATTTTATAACATTTCCATACATTTCTATATAGAACAGAAAAAAATATTAATTATTGAAATAATTTTTAATCCATGGTAAACCATTGCTAAATTTTTTATGTTACTTTTAAATGTGATTTAGAATAATTTGTAATTTTTTCATAACTTTTTCATTAATTTGGAAATGTGTGATACATCCTTAAAAAAGTACATGTATTGTTCTTTTTGAGGTCGTAAATGTCTGGTCATTACTTAGGATTTTATATAAAAATTATGTTCTAGAAACTTTATTTTATTCAATATCTATTATATATTCAACACATAAAAATTATATTTCCTTCTCTACTGCCCCCGGATCATCATCTCTTTTTAAAAGTGCATAACGTATCCTTTCTTGTAAATTAGATATGATAATCTTAGCTTGGAAGAATTCAAGAATTGAATTGCGATTATTATCCTAAATTAGATCAATTGATTCTTGATGTAAGAAGACAAAATTACATCATGACTCGATTGAGATTTGCGATTCGATAATTAATGGAAATTCCTTTCACTCCTTCCTTGGAAAAAATAAAAATAAGAGTGTAAAGTCCTACGCACGATGAAATAAAAATATTAGGAATAGAGATATAAATATTAAATATTAGAAGAATAAAAAAAATTAGGAATAGAGGTTAAACGTACTTTTAAACGTACATGGATACTAATAAGATGTAACGCATATAATATGTTTTATATCTTATTTGTATATACTATAAAAAATAAAATGTTAATTTTAACTTAAAGACATATAGTGGACTTTCCGAGACATGCAAAAATGTTAAAATTAATATTTTTGTGTTAATTCATTTTTATATATGATTAAAATTTTAAACAACGAACATAGCCTTTTTTATTTATATATTATTTTTAATTTAATTGAGCCTTCGAATTCAGTCTTATTCATATAATAACTATAATAAATATAAAGAAATATAAATAAATTTTCAGTAAATATTTTTTACTTAGATTACACTGTCTTATTAAGTATTTTTATAACATTTATTACAATACATACAATAAATATTTCATAATATTTATAATACATATTTATGATTTGTTTAAGACCACAAAAAAAATATATATATATATATTTACAAAATATTAAAAATAAATCTTACAAATATTTTGTAAATATTTTATAAATATTGTGTGCTGGGTATATAGCACACTTCCTCCGATGAACGTCCTGAAAACGACCTTATATAAATTTATATATATATATATGTATAATAGGACATAGGACGTACTTTCTAAACGTTTCTAGGACATTCCCATAAAATTTGTGCTGTATATGAGAAGTTACTATAATATTTCTGGAACGTTGCAATATTGCAATATTGTTAAAATGATCTGTATCGTATGAGGAGTAACAGAAGTGTAAATGAAGCTTTTAGGAAGCAAAACATTGAGATAAGAAAATGTAAAGCCCGTGTCAGCCTACGAGTTGACAATTACGATTGACAGTTGCATGGTTCTATTTCAATCAACCACGAAGGATTCGTTATCGTGATTGATTGAAATAGAACCTGTTATACCGTTAATCGTAATCATCAACTCGTAGTCTGAAACGGGCTTAAAAGAAGTGTTTATACTTCTTTTACATTTCATTGTCTCAATTTTCATTTTTTAAAAACTTCGATTTTTATTTTCGTCAGGATAAATACGTTTATTTATTATAATGACGATTAATGTAATTCATGTAATGATATTGAGTCGTGGACATGCATTAACGTGAAAACATGTAATCTATAGAGTAACGATGGAATAACGATGAGTGAATCGTAGTCTATTGATAACGATCAGTAAATCGTAATTTATCTTGAATGCCTGAATTTGTTTCGAAAAAGATGAATTAACATACTCTTTTAGACTAGTTAGAGTTGCTAGCACGTATTGTCGATCTTTATCAGTCATTGACATTCATTGTTTCTTCACCACTTATTTCTTCACCGAGAAAAAATATAAGAAAAGCAAGGAGAGAAGCGTATTCCTGGCTTGTTTTGTATTTTGTCGTGGAGATATAGGCCTGTGATAAAATATTCGCATTTATTTCGTTTGTTACAGCTGACGAACGCTGACGCCGTATTCGTAAATATGTCACATCGCAACTCACATGGATTAAACGTTAAACGACGAGAACGTTTGGCCCAGATAAGACATAAACACTGATGTCTATATTTAACTACTACAGTTTTTTACTATATGAATCTGCATTTGATATTTTTCTTTATACGATTCCAAATATCTAGCTTTCCATCTCATTCAAATAAGAGACTAACACATACACGTAAACGATGGCATTATTTTTTTAATATTTAGATGTTATGTCAAATTTTAAATTCACACAAAATTGTAACAATCATTGACTATTTAATTATTCACAAATGATTCTTTCATTATTTATCAGTTTGTTTCGAGACTCGCACAAGTTATGGTCAATTAGTATCTTGAAGATAAACACAATCTGATATTTTGTCTAATAACAATATTATATATTAAAAATAAACTATTGTCCATAAAAAAATTCCGTTCACTAAAGAATTCCGTTTTAAGTAAATATATGCAAATATATATAAATATATTATATGAACGTTTAGACATAAAATAACAATTTATCTTATTTTATATTATTATTTTTATATTATTTGACAATCTATTAATTTCTTTCTCTGCAAATCTGTTTTTTTTTTAAATATAATTTCATTTTTCTGTTTAAAAGTGATTATTTTGCATCGTGGCAAATTCCAGAATGTTGTCAAACATTTCTAAGACGTTGCATCTGTAACAATACCTATATTTATTGCGAAAACATGACGTATTTTCCGTAAGCTAATTATGGCCGATAAGATGTGTCTGCGCATTTTCGTAAAAGTAATTGCAATACACGTTTGCATACGGATACGTAAAGTGCATATTTGCACGAGAAATTATCAATGTTTCAAAATGTGATAACGATTACCTTGTGCGTCTGATTTAAAGGTAGCCGAGAAAAGATTCCTTAGAGAAGAGTTTACAAACAATAATCATTCTTGCGAAAATGCATTGCTATAATTTCTACAAACATTTTATTATTCCCTTGTATGTATGATGATTGCAGATGATACAAACCATGAAGTGGATCACGAAATAGATTATGATTGTGCAACGTGATTGTGATTTATTTAAGAAAAAAGAAGGTAGGGAGATAGAAAGTATAAAAAAGATAATCGAAAAATGAAATTGGAATTTCAAAAGACATTCTGATACATCGAAGTCATTGTTGTAAGAGAAAGACTTATCAGTAGAAGGACTGTTCCTTTAAAAAAGAATTTCTGTGATGTCTTTTAAACTCACGTGTTATCTGAAATATTTGATGAACTAAAAACAACGATTGTGTGTTATTTTATCAATTCGATAATATATAATAGCGTATTCTCATTATAATTTACGGCACTTATCTGGGGAGGATTTATCTCCTCTTTGCACAAGTAAAACATAAACAAAGGTTTAAAAAAATGTGAATTACAAAAAATAATGATTGTGCTTTTTTATGCTCTCATTGTTGTCCACTGTTATCGTCCATTATTCATGACGGTCTCAGAGAGCCCGTCGTTTCCAAAGGAGACTATTATATCACAGCTGCGACGCTGTAAAATGATTAATTACTTATATCAATAAGCTTATAATGTTATTGCACGTTCGTTACTGCCGTTAATCAGCAGCAACAAAAATTATTTATAAATAATGCTGTGTACATCTATAGGATTTTCCCCTTTAATTAATATAAGACATTAATCCTATTATTTATACAATGGAAAGTTGGAAACAAATACGTGATGATCACATTTTTATGATTTTTTCTTTAATGAAATCCCATTCAATCGATACTTAATGCAGTTAAATAATACAGAATGCTGCAATATATTTAATCTTCCTGATATATATATTGTGATGTTCAAATTAATTGAAATGACATTTAAATGTCAAATATAAATCCAACAAAATGGCGAACGTAGTGTTAACGTTTTCTTCATTCTTTGAAAATTTTACGACAGTGTAGAATATAAAATAATTCGTCCAATGCTACTATATATTGTATTATTCATTATGTTACTGATTCTATTAACTTATCGTATAAGTAGATATATAATCAAAAGACGATATTTTGTCTCGAGTACACAGTGATACAATAATCCAAGATATTTAATGTTGTCTCTTCAAAATGCACATTGCGCAATTCAAAGAATTATATCTTGGGTTTATTACATCTTCATGTTAATTAGGTTACTTTAAGACATTTGTCTCCAACTCGAATAAGCACGCGCAACAGTTTGTAAATGGCACGTGCACAAAAGAATTAAATATTAAATAACAAATAAATCAAGCGCTCGATAAATGTAAATAAAAATTAAAATGGTGAAAGATACGAATCAAGATAAGGAAAAAAGTGATGACTTTACTTTTATTCTAAAATAAATAAATAAAAAATGAACACAGAGAGACTAAAGAACAATTATATTATAGATGTTTTGACTGTGTTAAAACTTCTTCAGCACATCAATCTTACATTTAGCAAAGAAAGCAAAAAATAAACATAAAAAAATTAATAATAATATAAATTAGAACAAAGCGCATAATACAATGATAAACACAAAATATTAAATTAAAATGAGAATAAAAATAAAAGAGTAAAAATAAGATTAAATTTTAAGAATATAGGTAGTAAAAAAATTAAATTAAATTAAAAAATATATCTATGAAGGGCTACGATTAAAGTAAAAAATGTTAATTATACAAAATAAAAATGTATATACGCCCAATTTGATCGATGATATGAAGTAAATAACAAATATCAGCAGAAAAAATAAAGAATGAACTTATTTCTTATTAGGAATCAAGAATATGTTAGATCCAAGTTGGAATCCATTATCAGAAATAAATATGCGTAAAAAGCAATGTCAAATAAAAAATTATGCCATCAAAATGTGTAAGGTTTAAAGAGTAAAAATATAAATAATCTGTAATACAAAAAAATACATGAAAAGTCAAAGAAAATTATAATTTAAAAAAAATTTTTCATGACCAGGGGAGAGTACTTATAGCTAGTTCTTTCTTGCACTTTCATTACAGTTTGTACTTGACTTCCGTATTGAAGAGGACTCACAAAAGTCAAAACATTTGCGTTTACTTCAACTCCATTTGGTATCTATATCTCAATTACGAATTATATTATATGGCGTGAACACGTAATTTACGTACTAACAATCACGGAGGCTCACGTACTTCTTAAACAGCACATAATATTTATAAGATATTTACAAAATATTTATAAATATTTATAATATTTATTTTTAATATTTTGTAAACATATTTTTGTGGTCTTAGATTGCACAGATCAACATTTATTATAAATATTATTGTAAATATTATAGTAAATGCTATGAAAATACTTAATGAGATATTATAATCCAAGTAAAAAATACTTATTAGAAATATTTATTAATATTTATCATAAATATTA